ATGGTACAGCAGGGAAGGTCTAGCTGAAGAGGAGTTACTGGGATGGGTTGTTTGTGGCACTTATTACAGCCACCAGGGCGGGTCAGTAATCAGTGCAGGGCAGGGTCCAGTAGGCCATGCCTGTGCTGCTTGGTGGTGTGATGTTAAGCACATGGTGCAGGTAGGCAGGATGTAGCGGGGAGATGGTTTTGTGTGGAGCTAAGTTGAATATGGGAGAGAGGAGAGAGGAACAGTAGCCAAAAACTTACAAACAAACAAAAAAGAATGCTCGGGGAGCTTGCCGTTGGAGTGGAGAGATGAGAGACTATGAAATGGAGAAAAACAAAAAGGGGAAGAGGAAGGAAAAAAAAGAAAAGAAAAGAATGAATAAATAAAAATCAGAAAGTTCCCAGGGATCCCACCGGTGTGGCTATGAGGTCTGGGGAAGTTGTTCTCAAGTGTTGCAGCACAGCCTGGCTAGAAGGTGTAGAGGTATACAACTCCAGGTATTCAGGGTACAGAAGGAGAAGGAAAACAGAGAGAGATGAGAAACTGAGTAATGAAGAAAGACAAAAAGGGAAAAAGAGGGAAAATAAAACAAAACAAATTAAAAAAAAAAAGAACAGGAAAAGCCCCCCAAAAAACAGAAAAAAAAGAAAAAAAAAAAAAAAACAACTGAAAAAGAAATGCTCTCAGGGATCCCTCTGCACGTCTGTGCAAGCTGAGGGGGTAGGTTCCAAACCAAGCATCACCGCCTGGCCAGAACGGGCACCCAACTCAAGAAAAGGAAAAGAAAACTAACAAACAATTCAAAACAAACAAACAAAAGCCCCGGGATCCCACCAGCGCGGCAGCCCAGATTGGGGAGCAGCTCCACACTTGAATGGAGCTCCACAGCCCCTCAGGAAGAAGCAAAGATGATGCACGGAGCCAGGTATTTGAGCGAAAGGAGGGGGAGGTGGTGAGAGGTAAGGAAGAAAATCAAAAGAAGCGGAAACAAAGCAATACCAGCAGCCAACAATTGGCACTCAGAGAGCCAGCTAGTGTGGGCTGGTGGAATCCAAGCAGCCGGTGCTTCCCAGACAAGAGACTGTGTCCACAGGAAGCAGAGGAGGCCGAGTGTGGGTGAAGAAGGGTAGGGGGTGGGAAAGCGTATATCACAAATTACCGGAGCTCTGCAGCCCCCCAGGAAGAAGCAAAGATGGTGCACGGAGCCAGGTATTTGAGCCAAAGGAGGGGGAGGTGGTGAGAGGTAAGGAAGAAATCAAAAGAAGTGGAAAAAAGCAACACCAGCAGCCAACAGATGGCACTCAGGGAGCCGGCCCGTTTGGGTGGGTGGAATCCAAGCAGCCAGTGCTTCCTGGACAAGAGACTGTGGCCGCGGGAAGCAGAGGAGGCCGAGTGGGGGCGAAGAAGGGTGGGGGGTGGGAAAGCATACATCTTAAATTACTGGTTGTTTTTTCTCCCACTGGAAGCTCCGTGAAGCTGCCCCCTCGCACCCCCTGCTCGCCAGTCTCCGACTGGAGTCCAAGACGGCGGATCCACGCCGCGTTAGCTGATAGGGGACCCCTGCATGAATCCCTCCCCACTCTCCACTCTGTGCCAGTTTTCCCACTCCATTTGGTGCTTGGCTGAGTTCTTTATCTCTTCACTTGATGCCTTAGGGTTTCAGGATTGTTGTTTTGTCTGTTCGGCTCAGTTTTTCAGATCTTTGCTGTGGAGGGACGGGGTGGTGCTTCTGCCTAGAGCGCCATTTTGCCAGAAGTCCTCTTTCAGTTAGATTTTGGAGTACAGTCATGTGCTGCGTAACGTCTGTTTGGGCAACATCTGACCACATAGACATCTGTGGTCCCATAAAGTTATAATAGAGTTTAGAATCCCAGTTGGAGAACGGGATGTAGCGGGTGTAACGGGACATAGTGAATGCAACAGCTTCCCGCACACAGCACATGTGTCTCATGTCTCTCGTATATAGGCAGCCCCCAGGTTCCAAACAAGATCTCTTCCTAAGTCTGTCTTTAAGTCGAATTTGTAGATAAGTCAGAACAGGCATATACGGTTCTTATTTAGCGTCAGTCAAATGTTTGTCTTAATATATAGCATATATTTTACCTTTCTATGGATATAAAACACTTAACAAATACTTCCAGCCCGCACAGTGTTTTCCTGAACGTCATAAAGTAGTGTATGCATTCATTATTATGAACCATTGTATGTATTTAACTCAAATTTTTAATATAATAGGCTTTATGGCAGTCCGTTCTTAAGTGTAAGTTGTCTGTAAGTTGGATACTCGTAACCCGGGGACTGCCTCTAACATGGTGTTCGCACAAGGTCCAAATCACGTAATGTCCTGTTTCACAGAACGTACTGTGGACGTTAAATGACATGTGACTGTATATATTCTCTCTCCTAGAGCAATGGAGACCAAAGAAACATTACATGTATTTCCTTAGCTAAATGTACTGTGTTAACACAAGCAAAAACATTGTAAATTTGGCAAACTGGACATCCTTGCTGGCCTACCTTCTGTGCTTTCTTTATTTCTCCTCCCACTCTCTGCTCTGCTGACAGATGGTTGGTAGCAGAAAAGATTGCAGAAAGCATCCAAATGCTCAGTTCCCCCTGTCCTGGCCTACCTCTAAGTGGCAGGTGGTAAGGGAAAGGGCCAGAAATAAGACTTTATTACTCTGCCTTTAGCTCTTACTGAGAGTTTAGAGACCAGTAAAAGGGGAGTCTAAAAAAAGTGGTGGGAAAGCAGCTTGAATGAAGAAATTGATTATGTAGGAAAGATTTGGCCATGGGGTGGAGAGGGAGATGTAGAATCATAAAGAAGGATATAGGTGAAGTAACAAGATTGAAGGTCAGTGAGAAAGTATCCTGCTTAACGTAGCTTAGAGACGTAAGGGAAGTAACCAGTACCAGTTGCCTTGGAGTTGATTCCAACTTCTGGAGACCTCATGGTGCCTGAGTAGAACTGTGCTCCATAGAGTTTTCAATGGCTGATTTATTAGGAGTAGATCTCCAGGCCTTTTTTCCGAGGCGCCTTTGAGTAGATGCAAAGCTCTAAACTTTCAGTTAGCGGCCAAGTGTGTTAACTGTTTACGCCACCCAAGGACTCCTTCCCCTAAAACAGACCTCTACCAAGCACCGACACAAGATATCCAAAAGTACTTTAGAGATTGGGCCTCCTTAGAAAGGTTAGAAGGTTGGGGAGTGGGTGGGGAGTAAGTTAAATCTAGATAATCTTGTGGATCCAGAACCTTGAGTTAAAGCCACCAGTGAACTTGCTTTTCCTGATATTTAAGACTCATCCATAAAAGAGTCCTCTCTTTCACCTTGGAACTGTGTGTACCTTTTAATGTAACTGCTGTCTTAGGATGAGCATTCTCTTATGGAATCTGGCTGTGACACTGCATATTTTTTCCCAGGATTACCATCGACCTTCTGTGGAAGAAATTCTTGAGAACCCTTTGATAGCAGACTTGGTTGCAGAAGAGCAAAGAAAAAACCCTCAGAGAAGAGGGCGACGCTTAGCGGAGTCAGGCAAGTTGCAGGATTCCAGCCCGGTAACGAGTGAGCTCAAACTAAAGGAGCTGCAGTTACAGGAGCGAGAGCGAGCCCTCAGAGCAAGAGAAGAAAGACTGGAGCGTAAGTCTGAATGGGGGTCGAAGCAAAGGAGAGCTACGGGAGGGTTATTTTGATGTGTGTGAATGTTATTCAGACAATATTTTATATGCGTGTGTTCTCTTAGAACATTCTTATAAGCATTTGAAACACCAAAATATATTTTGTAAACTAATAACTAAGCTTGCTGGCCCTGCGTACTTGCCTTCTTTCTCTGAGATCAGTTGTAAGTCATTGTATTGTTGGACACCAACTGTGATGGCTGACAAATAGCGTTTATGCTTTGCTATGTTGTTGTCAGGTGCCGTCTAGTTGGTTCGGACTCATAGCGACCCTATGCACAACAGAAGAACACTGCCTGGTCCTGCGCCATTCTCACAATTGTTGCTATGCTTGAGCCCATTATTGCAGCCACTGTGTCAGTCCATCTCGTTGAGGGTCTTCCTCTTTTTCGCTGAACCTCTACTTTACCAAGCATGATGTCGTTCTCCAGGGATTGGTCCCTCCTGATAATACGTCCAAAGTACATGAGATGATGTCTTGCCATCCTCGCTTCTGAGGAGCATTCTGGCTGTACTTCTTCCAAGACGGATTTGTTTGTTCTTTTGGCAGTCCATGGTATATTCAGTATTCTTCACCAACACCCCAATTCAAAGGTGTCAATTTTTCTTCCTTATTCATTGTCCAGCTTTCACATGCTGATGAGGTGATTGAAAACACCATGGCTTGGGTCAGGCCCACCTTAGTCCTCAAGGTGACATCTTTGCTTTTCAACACTTTAAAGAGATCTCTTGCAGCAGATTTGCCCAGTGCAATGCAACGTTTGATTTCTTGACTGCTGCTTCCATGGGCACTGACTGTAGATCCAAGTAAAATGAAATCCTTGACAACTTCAGTCTTTTCTCTGTTTATCACCATGTTGCTTATTGGTCCGGTTGAGGATTTTTGTTTTCTTCATGTTGAGGTGTAATCCATACTGAGGGCTGTAGTCTTTGATCTTCACCAGTTAGTGCTTCAAGTCCTCTTCACTTTCAGCAAGCAAGGTCGTGTCATCTGCATAACACAGGTTGTTAATGAGTCTTTCTCCAATCTTGATGCCCCGTTCTTCTTCCTATAGTCCAGCTTCTCAGGTTATTTGCTCAGCATACAGATTGAATAGGTATGGTGAAAGGATACAACCCTGACGTACACCTTTCCTGACTTTAAACCATGTAGTATCCCCTTGTTCTGTTCGAACGACTGCCTCTTGATCTATGTACGTTCCTCATGAGCACAATTAAGTGTTCTGGAATTCCCATTCTTGCAATGTTATCCATAATTTGTTATGATTCACACAGTTGAATGCCTCACCATAGTCAATAAAACACAGGTAAACATCTTTCTGGTATTCTCTGCTTTCAGCCAGGATCCATCTGACATCAGCAATGATATCCCTGGTTCCATGTCCTCTTCTAAATCCAGCTTGAATTTTTGGCAGTTCCCTGTCTATACTGCTGCAGCCGCTTTTGAATGATCTTCAGCAAAATTTTGCTTGCATGTGATATTAACGGTATTGTTTGATAATTTCTGCATTCTGTTGGATCACTTTTCTTGAGAATAGGCATAAATATGGGTCTCTTCCAGTCAGTTGGCCAGGTAGCTCTCTTCCAAATTTCTTGGCATAGACGAGTGAGCAATTCCAGTGCTGCATCCATTTGTTAAAACATCTCAATTGGTATTCTGTCAATTCCTGGAGCTTTGTCTTTCACCAATGCCTTCAGTGCAGCTTGGACTTCTTCCTTCAGTACCGTCGGTTCCTGATCATATGTTATCTCCTACAAAGGTTGAATGTTGACCAATTCTTTTTGGTATAGTGACTCTGTGTATTCCTTCCATCTTCTTTTGATGCTTCCTGCGTTGTTTAACATTTTCCCCATAGAATCCTTCAGTATTGCAACTCAGGGCTTGAATTTTTTCCACAGGTCTTTCAGCTTGAGAAATGCTAAACGTGTTCTTTGCTCTTGGTTTTCTATCTCCAGGTCTTTGCACATGTCATCAAAATACTTTACTATGTCTTCTTGAGCCGCCCTTTGAAATCTTCTGTTCAGCTCTTTTACTTCATCATTTCTTCCTTTCGCTTTAGCTACTCGACTTTCAAGAGCAAGTTTCAGAGTCTCGTCTGACATCCATTTAGATCTTTTCTTTCTATCCTGTCTTTTTAATGACCTCTTGCTTTCTTTGTGTATGATGTCCTTGAAGTCATTCCACAGCTCATCTGGTCTTTGGTCACTAGTGTTCAACGCATTAAATCTATTCTAGAGATGGTCGTAGTTTGGCTCTTGTGGACTTGTTCTAATTTTCTTCAGTTTTGACTTTGCTATACTTTGCTATAGAGTTACTTTTTTTCTTTCTCTTCTTTAAATACCGTAAGGTTTTTTCACTGTAAAGGAAGGTCTTGGAATTCGCTGCCTTCCATAATAAAAGCCATTACTTCTACCTTCTAAAATGGCTGCACTAACACCGTTTCAGGTCTAAAATCCTACAATATATAGTTAGATATGTTCAGGCAATTCAATAGAGAAAATGGGTACAAGATATTCTAGGTTTATAAACAATACTCTGATGGCTGTTGACATTAACTTGCTGGGTATTGACTGAGTAGGTGCTAATTAGTTTTGATGGTGAAAATCTCTGCTTCACCAAGGTGAGCGCTGCTACCAAGGTTTTAGAATTACCCGAGGTAGCAACCGCAGGGAGGCTCTTCATTTTAAGTGAAGAGACTACTGATGGGGCTGTGTTTCCTGCCGCCCTTACAACAATCCTGATCTCAGTTCTGCAGCTTTGTGCCCAATGCAGACTTTAAATACTTTTTGTCTATTTATTTATTTAATATTATATTGTGTTTTAGGTGAAAGTTTATGTAGCAGATTAGGTTCCCATTAACAATTTTTATACAGATTGTTCCGTGACGTGGGTTACAACTTTACAATGTGTCGGCATTCTCATTATTTCTATTCTGTTTGTTCTGTTTACGTTGATGTAGCTGCCCTGCGCCTCCTTGCCTTCTCATCTTTGCTTTTGGATGAAGTTGACTGTTTGGTCTCATACAGTTGATTGTTTAAGGGAGCACATTACTCACTAATCTATAATATAATCTATTATTTGGCTGAAAGGTGACCTCCAGAAATAGCTTCAGTTCCAAGTTAAAAGAGTATTTTAGGGCGATACTCTTGGGGATTCCTCTAGTCTCTATTGGTCCAGTAGGTCTGCTCTTTCTTAGGAATTTGAATTTTGTTTTACACTTTTTCTCCCTTCTGTCCTGGACCTTTTATTATGTCCCTAGTCAGAATGGTCTGTAGTGGTAGCTGGGCACCATCTAGTTCTTCTGGTCTCAGGTTAGAAGAGGCCGTGGTTCATGTGGGCTATTAGTCCTGTGGACTAGTTTTCTTCATTCTCTTTTACTCCAGATGCGTGGAGACCAATAGTTGTGTCTTAGATGGCTGCTCGCAAGCTTTTAAGAGCTCAGACGCTACTCACCAAACTAGGATGTAGAATTTACATATTTAAATGTGCCTGTAAAGAGTCCAATGCATTGGTTTATGTTTTACTTTTTAATGACAATTAAATATTGTACAGTATTGTAAGATATGCTAAACTATATAGCAGCTTATCTGGAAATCTTTTTTGACTCTTTTGTCAAAAGATTCTGTACACAGCAAAACAAAACTTGTTCTTAAAACTTACCTCAATGAGACTAAATGGGCAGCTCCTGTCCAGAGGCGAGATGAGAAGGCAGAGAGGGTCAGGAGCTGGTTGAAAGGACATGGAAAATCCACGGCGGAAAGGAAGATTGTGCTGTCACAGTATAGGAAGAGCAAGTAGGGTCACAAAGTAATGTATGTATAAATTTTTGTATGAGACACTAACTTGAATTGTAAACTTTCACTTAAAGCACAACAATAAAAAAAAAAAAAAACTTAGTGTTTTGTAATTTCATATAGCACCTGGCATCTGAGCACTTTCTGAATTCTGGGCCATGAAGAAATAATATCCTTTGTTACAAATCTAAAGAACTACCTCCTGAGATGTGGTGTTTCTTTCTATTTGGGTGCTTTTATTCAACTAGAAGAAGGAGGTTTTGTACTGTGAGGCCGGGTGAGACCGCTGAAGGTGAACTGTTGTCTGCAGAGATGGCTTTAGTTTTTGCTTCCCGCACATGACCAAAGGTTGAAGCTAACTCTGTGCTCGTGTGTAAACCAGTCCTTACAGGATAACGCAAGCAGCATATGAAAACACTAAATTCAGAACTAGCACGATCAGGTTGACCAGAGCATACAGTAAGAAATCTTCCACAGAACATGACTAACCAGTGATCAGGCATGCTGAGACAAAGAGGTAAGATTACCAAACGTAAATTATTTTATACCCAAAGCCACTTGTTAATTTCTTTCTTTTTTAATTCCCTTTTAAAGAAAAGGAGCGTGAGATTTGTATTCGTGAGAGACTTGCAGAGGATAAGCTGGCGAGAGCGGAAAGTCTGTTAAAGAATTACAGCCTGCTGAAGGAGCAGAAGCTCCTGTCTCTGGCAAGTAATCCAGGTATGAGAACCAACCCAGAAAACAAGGACGGGTACCGCAAATGAAGAACAGCCCACAAGTGTGGCGCTGAAGATGCCTGTGGTCGCTCTTTTGATTTACAGAGTCTCAAATTTTAAGATGAATTTCATTGAATATGTGCATTCAAATGGATGTAAGATTGTGTTACAGCAATGGTTTATTTACTGGGTTCATAGACCTCAGGCCATGAGTCATAATAATTTCACCTTTGATCTTATTTACCTGATTAAATTACATGCTTAATATTCAATATTTATTTTTGAAAATTAGAACATTTAAAAAGTACTATGGATTCCAGATTTTTCTCTGGTTATATTATCAAAACTCTGCATTTTTGGATTCAAGTTTCAAGCAAAGACTCTAGCATTTTAATACTGTGATGGCTCATCCTTCCTGAAAGGTGGGAGACCAGCTGCAGAACTGGCCATTGTTTCGGGGCCTTTGCTAAGTCCTGTTCAAGCTGAAATACGTACTTGTCAAAATTTGGATTATCCTGTATCTCCATCTGCTCTGTGTCTTTCCATCTTCATTCAGTCTGGTATGTAGAAAGTACTGGCTCTCTCACGGCCCTGTCTTGGTGTGCGCATCGCCCCACCGCTGCTCTAGAGAGGTGCGGCATTGCAGAGACAGTGAACCAACGTCCAACATTTTCCCCGTTCATGGAAACCCTAAGTCTAATTTAAGCTACTCGATCTTTAAGATCATGTTAAGTGTTAAGCATGCTTTCTGTTGATTTTTTTTTACATCAGATTTCTTTTTTTTTTTATTGTGCTTTAGATGAAGGTTTACAAAGCAAAGTAGTTTCTCATTAAATAATACACATATTGTTTTCTGACATTGGTTGCCTCTGTTGGTTTCTTCATGACAAAAATTATTTTTAAAAGTTTTTTGTTGGTTTTAAAAATTAAGTATGTGTATTTTCAGTGAAATTTAGTCAGTTCTTATGACTCCCTTGTGCTGTGTAGGAAAGGATCTCTTAAGGCTGTCATTTTCATCTTTAATAAATTGAGGGAATCTGATTACATCAGTGATCATGACAGCATTTTGTAAACGGAACTGACAAAAAGAAATTACTTCAGTTATTTTGATGATTTCTGGTAACTTTACAGTGAATAGGTGATGGTAGTGAATGAAACTAGTGATAGAAGAAAATGAAACAAGAGTTACATAAAACTTCGGCTTCGTCTCTGTTAAAATATCCTCTTCCTTGTTTTTTCACTGTCACTATCCACCATTTCCGTATTTTCATGATCCTTGTTTCAGCTTTTCTTAGACTGCGTGCTGCCCTTTATAGAAGGACTCTAGTCATGATCATGGCGGTAGAGCTCGGGAGTTCTCTCCGGGCGAGTTCACGCGTCAGACCCATTGTAGAGCACTGCTGAAGACCTGATCGGGACGCGCTTCTAGTTAAAGAGTTTGTGTACATCTTGCCCTGAATAGCCTTAGAGCCAAGGATGAAAACATCTAGATAAGGATGTATTTCATTTTATGGGATACATAGATAGTATGTGAACCATGTATGTGAACCATGGCAGGTACTTGAAATGAGCGGTAGGAAATCTAGTATCCACTGGGGCTAGGAGACGTTTTGAAGTTCTCAGCACTGAAATACCAGGCATGTCAGAGCCCTAAGGTAGAAAACAAAGCAGTGGGGAACAGGTGTCACTGTGAACCCAGAACAGTTCTGAATATCCTCTTCCCATCCTTGGGCTATGAAATTCAAACATGAAGAAAATATAAATACATCAAGATCATCACTATCTTCTTTTTTAAAGCCATTCTTAGTTTATTTAATGAACTACTAATTCTTTTTATAAAACTATCCTATTAGTAAGATAATGTTGGTTTGCAAATTCACTGTGATGTCTATATTTTCTTCTTTTAACGGTGTGTATTGAATTTACTCTATGTGACTGTATATGAGCTGGCTGTGGTAATAAAAGATGGGTTTATTTGAAACAATGGAGTTAAGGTCTTAAAAGCGATCAACAACTTTGCTTTGAAGCAGAATCGGTGTCTGCAGTGGGAAGTCAGAGCCAGGAGACAATGGGAAGGAAGTGTTCTGTGCCCTCCTACCCGGACCTTTTCCAGTTCTTTGGCCTGGAGTGCTCTTCCTCCAGGCAGCAGCAGGCTGACTTCCTCCTCACTGGCATCGGGTCACTGCTCAGAAGGCACCTCCGTGGGAGGCTTTCTCTGGTCACTCCACACGCCACCCGGCGTTTCTGGTTCCCCTTCTCCGTGTAATTTTTTCCCTGTAGCACTTCTACCGCCTCATAGTCTTCATGTGTACTTGTTTATCTGTTCATGGTCTGTCTCCTCCTGCTAGAATAGGGCCATGCTTTTCTGGAAGCAATGTGTCCTAGATAAAATGGCACTTATTTTCAAGAATAGGGATAAATAACATTGATTTCTAAAAGTTTAATGTTATGGCTCATAATCCCCAGTGCGTTTAATCTTAGGAGAAAAAGTTAATTGTTAAGAGAGTAAAACATGTTCCTTGATTTTTGGAACATTCAAAGGTTATTTGGACTGAAGGGCTGATTGGTTTCTGCCCAGCCCACCCCTCACCTCCTACCCCAGATTTCCAATGAGCATGAAGAGTAAATGAGTATTTTTGGCTAAGTGTGGATAAGAATGACAGGGTGGAGGAGTTGAACGCCTGTTCTAGTACTCAAAAGCCTCTTTGTTTTTCTTTTTAAAGACCTCGATCTTCCATCCTCGATGATTAAGAAGAAAGTTCATTTCAGTGGGGAAAGTAAAGAGAATGTCATGAGGAGTGAGAATTCAGAGAATCTGCTGACCTCAAAATCCAAGTGCCGAGATCTGAAGAAACGGCTTCATGCTGCTCAGCTGCGTGCTCAAGCCCTGTCAGATATCGAAAAAAACTATCACCTGAAAAGCAGACAGATCCTGGGCATGCGCTAGCCTAGCCAGGAGACACCGAGCTGTGTATAGTGCTTAATATCGCCCAGCCTTTAAAGATTGATGTTCAACTGCTGTAGCCTTATAGACTTGGTTCCACGAGCCGTGCCTTTGGTACAAGAAGCGCGACACTTTGGAATTGCTTTTGCTGTTCTTCAGCAACAGCTGTAGAAAGTGCCCGCACCTTGCCTCGTTTTCGCTTTTTTACTGGTAGCTGAGAACACTTTATAGAAAGAAGGACACTTTCCTCCTTGGCTGGATTTTTAGTCCTGTGTGCGATGACACTGGAAACACGAGATGCCACATTCTAAGCCTTGGGGGGAAATAATGTTACGAAAAGTACTTACCTGGGAGTGGCACTTAGGAGAAGTTTTCAGTGACTGAGTGGTGTGCTTACGATTGTCATGTCTAGGTTTAAATTTTAAGTCTGAGGTTTTAAACGTTCTTGAGCTTCTTAGAAAACTTAATTGGGTACAGATGGGTCACAATAACCTGACATCTGGCTTAGAAATACCCCACTACTCTGTAGTGCAAATCTACCGCCTTTTGTGAAAATTCATCACTGTGCTGTCTATATTTTTTTCCTTTCTATGCTATTTAACAGTATATGTTAAATTTAACCTGTTTTACAGTACGTGAACTGGCTGTCATTTACCCACCTCTTTCTCAGTAAATAAAAAGAGTTCTTTAGTTTTCCTATGTTTATGTCTCTTTCATTTATCCACCTCTTGGCGGAAGGAGCGTGTGTGTGACTCGCAGGCATCGCAGGGGAGGGAAATGCACGTGGACCTGGTGCTCAGGAGAGCTGCAGGGATGCTTTCCGCTCATCTCATCAGTCCGTCTCAGCCAGCGTTCCTCGTGCGGGAGGGTGCTCTTACCCCCTGGGGGGACGGGGACAGGGGACGGATGGCAGTGTCTGGAGACACCTGATTGTCATGACTGGGGCGAAGGGACCACCAGCATCTGGTGGAAAGGCCAGGGGGTGCTGCCCTTCCTACAGCGCACAGGACGGCCCCCACCACAAATTGTCAGTTGTGCTGCTCTCGGGAAGCCCGGTCTAAGCTCTAACTTATACTATTTTCCCACCTTTGAAGGGAACTTATTTTGGATTTTGATGAATGTTTTTATATGTCTGATTTTTAATATGAATGAACGGTCCTTGCTGTGTCCATCACATTTTTTCATGTGATGCTTTTCTGGCAGTGCTAATCATTTTAGCTTAATGAAATAAGACCAAGTTATGAAGGGTTAATAATGACAGGAAATAGCTCCTTTCTATAAACTGCTTCATTACACAGCTGGTAATGTAGTTCTATCAAAGACAAATGATGATATCCAAACACTCAGAAACTGACACTCATGCCTTTATGTTATATCCAGAAATTAACTAATCCTAGTGGGACCATTTTGATATAAATGTTGAGTATAAGTCCTGATTAGCTACATTATTTGCAGGGCACAGTGCAAAATCAAAGTGTGGGGCTCTGTTCAAAAAGCAGGGAAAAAGCACCGTCAAAGGTGGACGGAACGCCTTTTCCCTTCTTGCCCAGGTGCGCGCTCTGCTCATGGCGTTATTTGCTATTTAGCTTTGTTCTAAGTAAAGGACTATTACATTTAAATGATTAGCGTGAATTTTACCATTCATCTTTATATTGTGCGATGCCAGCTTTAAATGCAAATGTCAGAGCATTTCTTGTGTGTGAAATCACTGAAATTACACAATCTGTATTTTGTGGCTTGTCCCTGGCGGGGCCTCAAGTTGGCCTCAAAGGTACAAGCCAGACTCAGGAAGGTAGGAGAAGAGAAGAGGGGACCCCCACCCCCAATGTCAATCCAGCTAAGAGAGTGCTCCCAGGCGTGGGCACACTTGCTGACCCTCCTGGACCCCTGGGGACTTCGACACTGGCGTGTTCTCAATTGCCCCTCCCTCCTATGAGCTGTACCCCTGCCAGGGGAGGGGTGTCTGGAGAAGTCCAGCCAGGAAGCTGTCTTTCCCACAGGCCCACTGCCCCCATCCATGGCAAATGAGCAACCCCCAAGGATCTTTAAGCCTCCAAGCTGGGACTTAGTTTGTACCTGGATCAGGGATGGGCAAGAGGCTTGTCCCCCCCAAGACTTGGCTCCTAGCTGGCTGCTCACCAGACAGGCCATGGGGCTACCAGTGAGGGGTAGAGGGGGAAGAAAGGAGCGTGGGCATGGCTGGGGAGCCACTACCATGTCCCGCCCTGAGAGGCTTCGAGGCATGGGGCACCCAACACTGACCCTCTAGCCCATACCTAGGCCCTTGCTGGGAGCAGAGGGTGGCAGTGGTCACAGGGTGGGGAGACAGCAGGGGCAGTTTGTGGGTCCGGGCCCCAGAGGTCAGGGGAGCACATGGCTGAGAGGTGGCAGAAGGCAGGCCCATGCGTCAGCCGACTCTAAGCCTCCACGCGTGCTTCATTTCTCCATCAATTCACTTACAAAACACTCAAAGACGAAATTACTAAGAATTTCAAGATGGCAGCCACAGAGCATTAAACCCCAAGCATAGAGCCCTCTGCTACTGCACTGGCCTCACACCTGTGAAGCCAGCCTTTCCTCAGGAAACTCCTCTCCCACCTTAGAAAATACTAAGTTTTCTTTTCATTTTGAAAGCTGTGGCATGCTGGATAGCTTCTCCAGTTTTCTCCATCCCAGACTCCACCTTTGTTTTCACTCATTCCTTCATTCAGCCCACAAACACTTTACCAGCACCTACTGTCAGTTGTAGAGAGGTGCTTTAGGTGCTGAAGATACTACAGTGAAGAAGTACTGAAATTCCTGCCCTTGTGGAGATTCCATTCCAATGGGGGAAGACAGTAAACAAACAAAATACAGCCTATGTTAGTGGTGAGTGCTGAGATCAGAAAAAGCCGGAAAGGGGAGTGGGAATGGTGGGGCTGCAATTTTAAAGAGGTGGCCATTAAGGGGTGCAGCAGGAAGAAGAGGAGGCTGACAGGAGGTCAAGGTTGAGGTGGGGGTGAAGGAGGAGAAAAGGAAAGGGGAGTTTGAGGAGCTGGGGAGTGCGGGAGGGGGGAGGGAGAAAGGGAGATGGTATTCAAGTGAGAAGGTAACCAGGTGACTCCGACTCATGGCGGCCCCATGGGTGTCAGAGTAGATCTGTGCTCCATAGGGTTTTCAATGGCTGACTTTTCAGAACTGGATCGCCAGGCCTTTCTCCTGAGATGCCTCTGGGTGGACTTAAACCTCCAGCCTTTCAGTTAGCAGCCAAGTGTGTTAACAGTTTGCACCACCCAGGGACTCCAGTGAGGGGGTAGAGAGGCTGAAATGAGGAAGAGAAGGTGAAGAAACGTGGGGGTTGAAGGTAACTGGGAGAAGCCAAGGGCAGGGCTTGGAAGTGGGCCAGGGGTTGGGACGCTGACAAGTTTTTGTCGGATTATGCATCCCCTCCCCTTCTAGAGCCAGCAGAACCTGGTTCACCTTACCTCTGAAGTGTGGGCGGTGATGCTTGGTGAGAAGGGCTCTCGTTGATGAGAGGTGTCCTACCAAATGGTGTTTCCCCAGAATCTCTTTCTGTGATGCCTTGCTAGACACCAATGCCATACTTACCATGACAGGGTTCACCTGTTTAAACAACAGTTTAACAAGCACGGCCTGCTCAAAGGCCTTTGAAAAAGTGCGTCGAAGATTAACCAGCTGTTCTGAGAGACAAAACCACAAGGTGGCGCCATGTTCTGTTTGAGCCGGAAGGCCCGCACTTCAAGCGTAGCCCTGGCTGCCTGTAGTTAGTAAGGGTACACGCCAGGTGTTGGTTAAATGCCTTATGCCCATTGTTTCATTTAATCCTCCCAGCATCCCTGTGCAGAAGGTGTTACTACCACATTTTACACAGAGAAACTGAAGCTCTGAGATCACAGCTGGAAGAGGCGCAGGTGGTCTCTGACTAAAGCTAGTGTTCCTGTCTATAACTTCTGTGCCCGCCTCCACAAGACAGCAAAAGGTGAGCTTTGTCCCCCAGACCAGCTGGTTTCCCACAGTGATGGGTTAAAGGTGGTACTCCATGACTTTACCCAAGTCAAGTGGTCAGCTGCCTGTTTGAGTGAAGGGCAGACGCAGAGCCAGCATGGTGAAGAGGCTGCGGTCCAGTGGCCTGTGGGCTAGGAAGGATCCCAGTAAGAGCCCAGGTCAAAGGGCTCAAGGGTGGTTGGCCTTCCCCCCTTTTCCTCAGTGTCCTTTTTCTACCTTATGGCTCTCCCCTTCCCCAGAAGATGCCCAGTGCCCTCGGGCTGCCCAGTGTCCTCCCAAGGCCACTTCAAGCAGGCCTGCCCTCCCTGAAGTATTTTGTTTGCTAATGACCTCCTCATTGCAGGACAAAACTCATTCCTCTATGCAACGCTAGGTGGCTGGGAAATGGGGATCCATATTTGATTGTTGGGTTTCACAGGCGAAGGGTGATGAGGCCAATACTTCCAGAGGATGTGCCTGTGGATGGCTAGTTGATGGAGTGTGTGGGTGTGACCCTGGCTTACTCTACCTCACCCTTATGCCACCCGCCATGACCTCCCCCCTCCCCCTACACTGGAAGAACAGGGGTCAGCTGCTGGGATGTCTCCTACTACGCAAAGGTTGAATTCAAAATTCAACACAATATTCAGAGGGGCCATTAGGGGCACCCTACCTCCATGAAGGCACCTGTCCTCCAGCTCTGGGGCACCTCAAGCTTCTGAAATCTCAGATAACTATGGGGGCAGCTAACCATCACTTGACTCCCTCTGGACCACCCAGCAGGAAACACATCCCCCACCCCACTTAGCCCCTAGACTTTCTCTGAGACAACCCACTTTCTCTGACACAACTCACTGTACCTGGGAGTTCTGCCATCTTAGTCACACCTTTACAGGAAATGGTCACAGTGGCTGGTTTTATTCATTATGCTTTTAAAAATGACTTTAAAAAATTATTATGATAACATTATTGTTAAAAATTCAAACAATATATAAGTATATATAGTAAAAATGAAAAAGTAAAAGTTCCCTCACCCACAATGTCACTTTCTCTCTTTCCAGATGCAGCTGTTAACAGTTTGGCATTTCCTTCCAGACCGTGTGTGTGTGGTGTGTGTGTGTGTGTGTGTGTGTGTGTGTGTGTGAGGTGTCTCCATGTATGGTGGTCTCTGTGTGGTCTATGTGTATGTGTTGTCTGAGTGTGTGTATTTAAAACACACTCACAAGTGAGATCTTATTACACCTGTTGTTCTTTGATTTGATTTTTTCAACTAGCAACAATCCTATCTTGTTGGTACATACAAATTCTCTTCATTTGTTTTTTTAAACGGCTGTCTTGTATCACCTTTTACATTCCTCCTAAGATTCCAGGAGGGCAGCCTTACTTTGAGTCTTTAAGGGAACTAGCTCACCTTGAGGAGTTAACCAGCAATGGAGGGAATACAGCCCTGGCCTTAAGAACTTAAGGCCCTGACAGTGAGGTGTGCAGGCACCTTTCAATAATTTACATTCTCCCTCAAATCAGTTCACTTGTTCCAGCCCCAGAATCACTCTCCCCAGCTCTGTCCTTGAGAACATTGTGGCCAATTAACTGGGGAAATAGGTGGACAAAACACAGAAAGACTCCCGGTCATGGTTGGGCTGGCCCCAGAGCATGCTGGGAAAAATCCCATGATGCCTAGCAGAGTCTCAAGGCTCAGGCCCCTGACAAGAACCTCCCCTCTGCTCCTTTTCAGCAC